CTCCATATTTAAGAGTCTCTTATGTTTTGTCTCCCTCCGTTTTTATATTCTTTTTGCTTCCCTCCCCTTATGTTTTGTATCTTAAAGTCCTCATATGAATGAAGTCATATGATATTTGTCTTTCTCTGAGTGACTAATTTCATTTAGCATAATACCCTCTAGTTCCATCCATGTAGCTGCAAATGGCAAGATTTCATTCTTTTTGATTGCTGAGTAATACTCCATTGTGTGTGTGTGTGTGTGTGTGTGTGTGTGTGTGTGTGTGTGTATATGCCACATCTTCTTTATCCATTTATCCATTGATGGACATTTGGGCATTTTCCATACTTTGGCTATTGTTAATAGTGCTGCTATAAACATTGGGGTGCATGTGTCCCTTTGAAACAGCATACCTGTATCCCTTGGATAAATACCTAGTGGTGCAATTGCTGGGTCTTGGGTAGTTCTATTTTCAATTTTTTGAAGAATCTCCATACTGTTTTCCAGAATGGCTGCACCAGTTTGCATTCCCACCAGCAGTGCAAAAAAGATCCTCTTTCTCTGCATCCTTGCCAACACCTATTGTTACGTGAGTTGTTAATGTTAGCCATTCTGACGGGTGTGAGGTGGTATCTCATTGTGGTTTTGATTTGTATTTCCCTGATGATGAGTGATATTGAGCATTTTTTCATGTGTCGATTGACAATCTGGATGTCTTCATTGGAGAAGTGTCTATTCATGTCTTTTTCCCATTTCTTCACTGGATTATTCGTTTTTTGGGTGTTGAGTTTGAGAAATTCTCTATAGATTTTGGATACCAACCCTTTATCTGATATGTCATTTGCAAATATCATCTCCCATCCCGTCAGTTGCCTTTTAGTTTTACTGATTGTTTCCTTCACTGTGCAGAAGATTTTATTTTGATGAGGTCCTAATAGTTCATTTTTCTTTTGTTTCCTTTGCATCTGGAGATGTGATGAGTAAGAAGTTGCTGTGGCCAAGGTCAAAGAGGTTTTTACCTGCTTTCTCCTTGAAGATTTTGATGGTTTCCAACCTATATTTAGATCTTTCATTCATTTAGAGTTTATTTTTGTATATGGTGTGAGAAAGTGGTCCAGGTTCATTTTTCTGCATGTTCCTGTCCAGTTTTCCCAGTGCTACTTGCTGATGTGACTGTCTTTATTCCATTGGATATTCTTTCCTGCTTTGTCAAAGATGAGTTGGCCATACGTTTGTGGGTCCATTTCTGGTTTCTCTATTCTGTTCAATTGATCTGACTGTCTGTTTTTGTTCCAATACCATACTGTCTTGATGATTACAGCTTTGTAATATAGCTTGAAGTCTGGGATTGTGATGCCTCCAGCTTTGGTTTTCTTTTTCAAATTGCTTTGTCTATTCGGGGTCTTTTGTGGTTCCATACAAATTTTAGGATTGTTTGTTCTAGTTCTGTGAAGAATGATGGTGTTATTTTGATAGAGATTGCATGGAATATGTAGATTGCTTTGAGTAGTATTGACATTTTAACAATGTTTATTCTTCCTATCCAGGAGCATGGAATATTTTTCCATTTTTTTTTGTGTCTTCTTCAATTTCTTTCATAATCTTTATAGTTTTCAGTGTATAGATTTTTCACCTCTTTGGTTAGATTTATTCCTAAGTATATTACGGTTTGTGGTGCTATCCATTCTACTCTTGATGGACGTTTGGTTTGTTCTAGTTTTTAACCGTTTACAAAAACTACTGCTCTGAAAATTCCTAACTAACCACATCTTTTAGAAAACATATATCCACATTTCTATAGCGTTTATTTTTATCGGTGGAATGGTTGGCCTATGGAAGATGCATTTGTTCAAGTTCAAAAGATATTGTCAAAGAGTTTTCTAAGATATTGTACCAATTTATATCTACACCAGCTTGTATGAATAGTCTGTTTGCTCCATATCTTTTCAACACTTGGAATTATTTGTTTTTCATTCTAGTCACACTGGCAAGTGTTTCTGCACGTGTGTGCAGGTGTGTGTGCATGTGTGTGTGTTGAGCACCTTTCATATGTTAGTTTCCATTTGGGTAACTGATATGCTTGTTTTTACTATTGAATTGTCTGCCTTTTTCATACTAATTTGAGCTCTGTATATGAGATTTTTGTTAGATATATGAAATTCAAATATCATCTCCCACTCTTTGGCTTTGGCTTTTCATTCTCTTAGTGGTAACTTTTGATGAATAGAAGTTCTTCCCTTTCCCCCACCTCCAAACTCCCACCAGCTTTATTGAGGTATGATTGACAAATAAAAGTTGTATATATTTAAGGTATAAATATTTCAATATGTCACAATCTAGCTAATTAATATATCCATTACCTCACATAGTTACCTGTGTGTGTGTGTGTGTGTTGAGAACACTTAAGATCTACTCTCAGCAAATTTCAAGTATACATTTTCAACTGTAGTTACTGTACTGTATGTACATTAGATCCCCAGGACTTATGACTGAAAATGTATATCTTTTGACCAATATCTCCCCATTGCCCCCACCTCCCCAGCCCCTGGATACCACCATTTTACTCTCTGTTAACTATGAGTTTGACTTTTTTAGATTCTACATAGAAGTGAAGTCTTGCAATATTTATCTTTCTGTGCCTGACTTATTTCACTTAGCATAATGTCCTGCAGATTCACCCATGTTGTTGCAAATGGCAGGATTGTCTTTTTAAGGCTGAATAGTATTCCACCATGTGGTACGTTTTCTTTAGTCATTCATCTGTTGACAAACAGAAGTTCTTAACTTGCTTTTAATGCAGTCCAATTTATTTTTTTAAGCTGCCTTTTGATCAGTGTTTTCATGATTCTTGTTTAAGAAACCTTTCCCTACTTAAGGTTATGAAGGTATTCTCTTATGTTTTCTTCCAAATGCTTTATGTTTTGCCTTTTTCACTTAAATCTATGATCCAACTGGAACTGATTTTTGCATATGATATGAACTAGCAGGTTATGGTTCTTTCCCCAATATATACATATATTTCTGGCTACCCTGTTTCATTCTATTGATTCTTTTCAGCCCTTATGATAATGCCACACTGGCTTAACTACTATGATGTTTGGTAAGTTGTCTAGTGAACCTTGATGTTTAGAAGTTCAAGTCCTATAGCTCTGTTGTTCTTCAAGATTGCTTTGACTATTCTTGATAGTCAGATCCCTCTTGATTTCTTTTAATCTTTTAGAAATTAGTCTTAATTTTAACTAGGGAATTATTTTGAATTTTTGTAAAAATTTCACCTTCCTATTTGTAATTTGATGTAGCATGGTTTTATTTGTGATAATTTTCTGTCCTAATTTACTAAATAAACAATGGATGAATATAAAAGAAAACTCATATGTATTTAAATTTACTTTGCTTCATTTTGCTTCACAAATAAGTATAATATAACAAGATAAAAATAAAAATGCAGGAAGAAAATAAGGGTAAGAGTATAATATAAAATAACAGATAAGATTAATTCAGGCCTGCTTTTTTATATATAGAGTTAAGACAGAAACTGTAACTCCCATTTATCAGAGTCAAAGCAAAGAGAATCAGTTATGAGATTCACAGTATCCATATGTAAAAGCAAACCACTTACTCTAAAGGAGAGTTTTTCTTGTTGGTAAAAAATGAAGATGTGAATTTTCTCCTTTTTTGGATTTTAAAGATGATAACATGTGGACACAATTCCAAAGGCCAATTTATCTGAATGGACAGTTCTATAAAATCAGTAATATGCTACAGATTTGTGCTTTTCTGATAGTCTGACTTGATCCAAGGATAAAATTTGAAACAAAAATAAATGGGCTATTTTTAATTCTAAAAAATAATACACATATCTCTCAATTCTGTATATGTATATATATACACTTACACATATTTTTTTCTTAACCATGTTTTTTAATGGGATTTAGACAATAGAAACACAAGAGTATATTTTTTGGCAAGAACCTATGTTGTCCATTAAAGCATATCTGTACACTTTGGTCAACAGCCGAGTAGAGGCTCTTTGAGTTGCTATTCTTCAATAATAATATTGCAGAGTATTAAAACTTTATTGCCAGATATTGCAATAAGTGCTTTTATTTACATTTTTCATTTAATCATCACCCTTGACAGTAGGTGCTCTAGTTATCTGTATTTCACGGATGAAAAAAGTAAGGTAAATAACTTGCCTAAGGTTCTACTACAAATAAGTAATAGAATCAAGATTCAGTTTCTGGCAATTATGCCTCTATTTCTACTACATGATAAAGATTTAGTCTGATGCAGGATTTGTGCCTTAATTAGGAGGTTAGGACATTCAGATAGAGCTAAGGTTTTCTTCACAAAACAGTTTCTAGGTCTATGTTCATATAGTTGGGTGTAGAAAACCACATTGTACTTCTACAACAATTTTGCTTGAGATAAATTTCTTTTGGATTTTGGATTTTCTTTAGTTTCTTTTTATTTCTTATTTTACTTAACTAAATCCCAATCTTCTGAATAACTATTGTTGAATGTGATCATTACCTTGAATATTATCACTTTTACTATTGTTTTATGAGTATTAAGCTTGTAGGGAGCCAAGTGGCTTGCCTAAATAGATATCAAAATATAAGCAAATTAAATTACTTAAATGCTTTCTATAAAGGGAATTTTGTATTTTTGCAGTTTTAAAATATTTTCTGCAATTTTCCTAAGATAGATTGATATTTTGGAATTATTTCATTGAAAGTAGGGGAAAGTGTTCAGTATGTTTTACAGCTGGCATTCCTAAAAGCTAAATGAACATTGCAGAGCCATTTTAGTTATGTTGCGATATTTATCTTTTGTTATAATTCTTGCACTTGAGTACTTGTTTGTGCACATTGTTTTGAAGTGAGCCTACTAATTTATGTTTGAATCTGCCTTAATTTCACAAATAAGAAGTAAGAAAAATTTATAGGATTAGTTCTATTCATATTAATCTGAAAATAAAATATATTAAAAATTTTAACATTTTCTATGTTAACTTCCAGGTTGAAGGTCTAGAACAGATGTGGAAAGATGTTCACTTCAGAGAAAGGGGTTGTGGAGGAATGGTTGTCAGAGTTCAAGGTAATATTTACTGTTTCAATATAGTAATTATTCCAAAGAAGTTTTATCTGGCATTTAAATCACAGTTGCTCTTTTTTTAAATTTTATTTTACTTTTTGTAATTTTTATTCTTTTTAATGACTGAAAGGTTAAATATCTATGGAAGCAGAAATATGTTCCAACAAATCTTAATAGGGAATTATTTATACATAGCAGTACTTTTTTTTCCCTAGGAAATGAATTCCTTTTTTTCCCCTCAAGTGGTTAAAAGATTTTGTCTGCTCCTTTTCATAACAACACCACAAAGAATGATTAATGTTTCTGAATATTAATGTTACTGTTTCCAACCACCATCAAAAATTCAGTGTTGAAATGTTTCTCCCAATTTGGGGGCAAAGGGAGTAGGCATGATCAACAACGAGGAGAAGATGAAAAGATATTTGCCCACTTTTCTAGCGATGGATTCTTCTCTAGCTGGTTAACTTTTGTTTTCTTGTCTTAGGAGCTTTATAATTGCTAAAATTCTTTAACTAATTACCTTCTCCTTGTCCTTTGGGTCTTGTTACACATAATTACGTAAACTCCATGATCACGAACAAGAGTAATGAAGAGTTTGGAATGCAACTATCACTTTTTTGTCTAGCCTAATCAGCCCATGACTTTGAGGGACAAATGTATTGCCTGACAAAGTCGGACTTACTTGGCTTGTTTCAGTGAAGGAGACTACAACAGGCACTATATGGCCATCTTACCAAATAGAGGAAAAGACAAAATTATTCTAGGATTTGGAGGAAGGGTGAAGTTTAGATGGAAAATTAAAAAAAATTTTAATGTTTATTTTTTAATTTAAAACATTTTTTTATGTTTGTTTATTTCTGAGAGAGAGACAGAGAGTGAGCAGGAGAGGGACAGAGAGAGAGGGAGACACAGAATCAGAAGCAGGCTCTAGGCTTCAACCTGTCAGCACTGAGCCTGATATGGGGCTCAAACCCACCAACTGTGAGACTGTGACCTGAGCTGAAGTCAGATACTTAACTGATTGAGCCATCAAACAGGTGCCCCTGTTTGTTTATTTTTTGAGAGAGAGAGAGAGAGAGAGAGAGAGAGGGAGCATGAACAAGGGAGGAGTGGAGAGAGGAGGAGACACAGAATCTGAAGCAGGCTTCCGGCTCTGAGGCACAGAGCCTGATATAGGGCTTGAACTCGTAAACCGTGAGATCATGACCTGAGCCAAAGTCAGACGCTTAACCGACTAAGCCACCCAGCCACCCAGAAATTTAAATGAAGTAGTATTTTGATAGGCTTAATACAAAGCAGAGCTGTGTGTAATGGATTAAAATCTGGTGTGGACTTCCAAGTGGACCCAGGGTCATGTTGTCTTGGAAACTACACAGTTAACATCTACGTGGAATGTTGTGTTCAGAACCCCTTATGTGAAAGCTCTGCACCTTGGCTGAAAATCAAGCCTACTTCTCTTGTCTGTGTAAGGTGACTTAGATCCTCAGGAGAGAGTGGGATGTTTCATTCTTACTGGTATATGTTTAAACAGCAAAGTTTTTGATATCTGTGATTTTAGATAACAAGGCTTCTCCGTGAATAAGGATATAGTTAATCACTAAAAAGAGAGGTTGTTATGACACTTTAGCTTCAGTGTGTTCTTGAGAGAAGCAGTGTTTCCTGTTAATTTTGCAGCTGGCCTTGTCAGTCATTATTATCTTATCCTGACAAATGGCTGGACACATTTTTGCTTTGTAATTTATTATCGTCATGAGTTGAGTATCTTGCTACAGATCCCCTAAGTCATCATAAAGTGAGGTAGAATCTTACAAAAGTACACTGTATATAGTGCCTTCTACATATTTTAATAATTTCATTACATTTTGTATGTGCTTTTTTCCCCTGCATATGTTGTTTTTGTGAGTAAGTGTTCAGGTGGAGGTTTTTTGTTGTTGGTTTTTTTTTTTCTCTGAGAGAAAGAGAGAGACAGACACAGCGTGAGCAGGAGAGGGTCAGAAAGAGGGAGACACAGAATCTGAAACAGACTCCAGGCTCTGAGCTAGCTGTCAGCACAGAGCCCGACGTGGGGCTCGAACCCATGAACTGTGAGATCATGACCTGAACCGAAGTCGGCCACTCAACCGACTAAGCCACCCGGGCGCCCCAGTGTTCAGGGGTTTTTAAGCTTTTTTTTTGCTTCAGGAGTATTTAATATGGTTCATTATATCATGATTTTTTTTTGATAGGTTGGTGGAAATTGTCAAGTTTAAGAGTGGAGTACTATTAGGCATTCTTATGTTTAATAGTGAAGTCAAATTTGCAAAAGCAAATATAGGCAGTTAGCCAATTTTTAATATGGGAGTTGTGGAAAGAGGGCCTGTTAAAGGATGGGGTATAGGGAAAGGGTTAACTGTTAAGGCAAGTAATTGAAAATCATGACTAAATCCCTACCTTCCTGTCTGTTTATTCCCTTCCCCTCCTGGCTTGGATACATAGCACCCTAGCAAGTGTAGCAGTGAAGGAAGGGTAAGGGGGCAGTGCAGAAGTATGGGTGACAGTATGCCCTAGTGCTTGAACTGGGTAGTTGGAATGGAGGGTTGCAGAGGTGACATGTAGAAAACTCAGCCAGAGTGGTTACATTGGTAGGTTGGTTACTTTATAAATAAATAAATATATGGAGGATAATGGGAGTTAGGTTTCTCTGTGTCTGAGAAAGGAATTAGAAACATGGGATGGGGAATGGCAAGAAAGAAACTTAAGGTGTTAGATTGAGATTGGAAGAATCAGAATGAACTCATGGATCTAAATATGTATGTGACATCATTATACATGTATATCTGTATATAAATGCATACATATATTTCTTGGGTTTGTTCACTCGGAGGGCCGAGAAACAATGACAATGACACCCCAGTAGTAATGAGTATACCATGCACCCAGATCTTGTTTTCTAAATACCATCTTCCACTAAAAGAAAGTAGGATGTGAATAAAGTGTTATCTAAATAATATTTTATCAATATAGCCTATTATGTGGGTAGTGCTATTTTATCAATACTTTTATGTTTAATTCAAGGATAAGGAAACTTTTCCATTGGGAGGAAGGGAATAAAATCCTGAGCGCCATGAATTAAAAAGTAATTTAATTGTCTTCTCGCCCCCAAGATTAAATTTACCCAATTTCATAGATGGAACTTACTTAAACATCATAAAAGCCATCTATGAGAAGCCCTCAGCTAACATCATCCTCAACGGGGAAAACCTGAGAGCTTTCCCCCTGATATCAGGAACACGACAGGGATGTCCACTCTCACCACTGTTGTTTAACATAGTGCTGGAAGTCCTAGCATCAGCAATCAGATGACAAAAGGAAATAAAAGGCATCAGAATTGGCAAAGAAGAAGTCAAACTTTCACTTTTCGCAGATGACATGATACTCTACATAGAAAACCCAACAGACTTCACCAGAAGCCTTCTAGAACTGATCCATGAATTCAGCAAAGTTTCAGGGTACAAAATCAACGTACAGAAATTGGTTGTATTTTTATACACCGATAATGAAGCAACAGAAAGAGAAATCAAGAAATGGATCCCATTCACAATTGCACAAAAAAACATAAAATACCTAGGAATAAACTTAACCAAAGGTATGGGAGATCTGTATGCTGAAAACCATAGAAAGCTTATGAAGGAAATTGAAGAAGACACGAAGAAATGGAAAAACATTCCATGCTCATGGATCGGTAGAATAAATATTGTCAAAATGTCATTACTACCCAAAGCAATCTACACATTCAATGCAATCCCAATCAAAATTGCACCAGCATTCTTCTCAAAATTAGAACAAACTATCTTAAAATGTGTATGGAACCACCAAAGACCCGAAATAGCCAAAGTAATATTGAAGAAGAAAACAAAAACGGGAAGCATCACAATCCCAGACTTTAGCCTCTGCTACAAAGCTGTAATTATCAAGACAGTATGGTATTGACACAAAAACAGACACATAGACCAATGGAATAGAAGAGAGAACTCAGAATTGGACCCACAAATGTATGGCCAACTAATCTTTGACAAAGCAGGAAAGAGTATCCAGTGGAAAAATGACAGCCTCTTTAACAGATGGTGCTGGGAGAACTGGACAGCAGCATGCAGAAGAATGAAACTAGATCATTTTCTCAGACCATACACAAAAATAAACTCAAAATGGATAAAGGACCTGAATGTGAGACAGGAAACTCTCCAAACCCTAGAGAAGAAAGCAGGAAACAACCTCCTTGACCTCAACTGCAGCAATTTCTTACTTGATACATCCCCAAAGGCAAGAGGATCAAGAACAAAAATGAACTATTGGGACCTCATGAAGATAAAAAAAAACTTCTGTACGGCAAAGGAAACAATCAATGAAACTAAGAGGCAACTGATGGAATGGGAAAAGATAGTCGCAAATGACATATCAGATAAAGGGCTAGTATCCAGAATCTATAAGGAGCTCACCAAACTCCACACCCAAAAAACAAATAATCCAGTGAAGAAATGGGCAGAAGACATGAACAGACATTTCTCCAAAGAGGACATCCAGATGGCCAACAGACACATGAAATGATGTTCAGCATCCCTCAGCATCAGGGAATACAAATCAAAACCACACTGAGATACCACCTTATGCTGGTCAGTGTGGCTATAATGAACAAATCAGGAGACTCTAGGTGCTGGTGAGGATGTGGAGAAATGGGCATCCCCTACACTGTTGGTGGGAATGTAAACTGGTGCAGCCCCTCTGGAAAACAGTGTGGAGGTTCCTCAGGAAACTAACAATAGACCTCCCCTATGACCCAGCAATAGCACTGCTAGGAATTTACCCAAGGGATACAGGAGTGCTGATGCATAGGGGCACATGTACCCCAATGTTCATAGCAGCATTCTCAGCAGTAGCCAAAACATGAAAAGAGCCTAAGTGTCCATTAAGTGATGAATGGGTCAAGAATGTGTGGCTTATCTATACAATGGAATACTACATGGCAATGAGAAAGAATGAAATCTGGCCATTTGTAGCAACATGGATGGAACTTGAAGGTGATATGCTGAGCGAAATAAGTCAGGCAGAGAAGAACAGATACCATATATTTTCACGTATAGGTGGATTAGGAGGAACTTAACAGAGGACCATGGGGGAGTAGAAGGGGAAAAATAGTTGGGGAGAAGGAGGGAGGCAAACCATGAGAGACTCTTCAATGCTGAGAACAAACTTAGGGCTGATGGGGGTGGGGGAGAAGGGAAAGGGGATGATGGGCATGGAGGAGGGCACTTGTTGGGATGAGCACTGGGTGTTATATGGAAACCAACGTGACAATAAACTATTTAAGAAAAAAAATTTACCCAATTTCCAGTCAATTTAATTTAGTAAATGTTTTAAATTATTGTCAAGTCTACATTATAGCTAGTTAAAAACAAGATATTTCCTATTTCTTGGTTAATTTGGTAAGCATTTCTGAAAATTATTTTGAGTGTTATCTGAATTGTGTTAATGTGTGTTGAATTCAGCTCTGTTTATGTTTGATGAAGGGTTTAAGGTTATCAGGAAAAAGCAGCATATTAAAGGTAATAAAAGGCAGAAAATTACTTGAGGACATATCTCTTAAGTACTTTCAAAATTAGAGTATCTTGTCTTTTGAAATGATTTGTGATGTTAATTACATATTTTGGTTAAAATGAGAAAGGAAGTTTGGATGTATATATATATGGGGGGGTATTGTGGGAGAGAAGGGGTTGGAGGAGAAAGCCTTTGCTTGGTTGTTGAATTTAATAACCATGTGGTACTATTAAGGCTAAGGTCATCAGATTGATAAAGTAGTACAAAGCACAATGGGCTGAGAAGTCAGAAACCTTTTGATCTGATTGTACTTATTATATGGTTTTATGATGGTGGAAAATTCACGTAACTTTTTTGGGTTTCAATATCCTCATCAGAAAAAGTGAAGTAAGTGGTCTGTGAAGATGATTTTAGCTTTACGTTGTTTCATGGTCACAGTTTGAACTCCCAACTTCCTAACTTGATTCACTATGCTCTCAAATGTACAAAGACAACACAATTTGCTTTGCACAATTTTTTTTTTTTTGCCGTTGGAAAAACTACTCAGTATGTACACTAGCTCTAGCCCCTCAGTAGTATTCTCTTTATATACCAACAAAGTGATTAGATTTGAGACTTTAAGATTTTATGAATCATTCAGTTTTTATCTTTTCAAAGATTGATTTGTAAAGTATTATCTTTCAGATTATGTTGTGTTTTCCTTAATGCTATGTGCAGATTTGTCTAGCAGAATTCTGGATTCCTAATTTTTTCAATTTTATGGTAGTCACTGAATCTCAAAATGTAGTCTTAATGTGTAATGTTGTTGAAGAGTTGTTTTATTTATTGGCTCTTCATCCATCTGTCTATCTTCATTAATTCTCTTCCACCCAACCCATATCACCTCCTTACATTTTTGAAAAACCATCTGCCAAATGATACTTTAGTATGAAGCATCTGTCTTCAATTTTTGCCAAGACTAATCCTCCCCCCATCTTTTTTTTTTTTTGGTCTCCAGTTCTGCCTTCTGAAAAGTGAGAAAGCCTAGCTGGTACTTAAGGCGAGTACCTTTGAACTAGTACAGTGCAAGAAAATTCAAAGGTTTGCTGCAGTAGTACTTAAATCCACTAGGCATGGTTAGATCTTAAGTTTTTCAAAGCACTGTTTATAAACAGCAATTATATTTTCTCCCCTTTTATAGACAAAAGTAGCTTTCCCCACATTCACAAAATGAAATAATGACAGACTTGTGCATTAAGTTTTAGAAGGCACTTCCTCTCATTTAGCAGCACAGTGTCCTGGGTCCAGGGTATTTTCAGAGAAGAGTTTGTCCAGAGTTTGTCTTTTCAGAGAAGAGCCCTCCTTTTGCCTTTGGCTGTTTTACAATGTTTTACTTCATGAAAGTTAATTGGTACATAAATTGAAAATTGTAATTCACATTTTTAATGAATGTTCCAGTTTTAGTCTAGATAGTATATATAACATTAAAATAATCTTTATATTTACTAGCCATTTTTAAAAATGTATATTTCAATTCACGTTGTTTTGAATTTTATAGTTAGACATACACTATATATAGACATATATAGACATATAATAATATATTTTATATATATAGTTCAGGTTCATTTCCATTCAGGGGGTTAGAGAATCTGTTATTTATAGGACTGACTGGATGGTTCAGTTGGTTAAGCATCCGACTTCTGCTCAAGTCAGGATCTCACAGTTAGTGGGTTCAAGCCCACATCTGGCTCTGTGCTGACAGCTCAGAGCCGGGAGCCCACTTTGGATTCTGTGTGTCCCTCTCTTTCTGCCCCTCCCCTGCTTGCACTCTGTCTCTCTCTCTCAAAAATGAATAAAACATTTTTTAAAAACTTAAAAAAAAGGAAATCTGTTGTTTATTTGACTGTTTCCTTTTATATAAATTCCCCTAGTATAAGGTTACTCTTGATCAAATAACGGAAATGGAATGTTGCCTGGAGATCTTTTGTTACGTGCTTTTGAAATATTGAAGAATGCCCTAATCTCCTCTTTATGTAAGCAATTGCAGTGAAACTTTCTTTTTTTACTCTGAAGAATGGTGGAAGGTTTCCAGATAGTTCACATTTACTTACTGTTCTGGTAAATAAAACTACCTTATTGAATTAAAAAAAGGAATCTATTCACTTATATATCTTAAGATGAAATGTGACCTATTTTTAAAGAATTTACTGAAGTGTAAATAGTGGCAGTGTTAATTCTTATTCTGTTCATCTATAATAAATCCCTTCAGCAAAGGTTTGAGTATGAGGCCTTGTGCTGAGTCCTGTGGATGGAGAGACAATAAGCTAGTTTTTGCCCTTAAGGAGTTCATGGTAAAATAAAAATGAATCACATATCCTTAGTATAAACATTTATGCTGTTTAATTTTCAGTGTTTATTTATGCACATGTACATGTATATACACTAATCATAATTGTTTTAAATTATTAAATACTAGGAGATGGGACAAATAAGAAACAGTATATATCTTGGAATGACTATTAGCAATATCTTGAAATTCTATATCTACTGCAAGATTAATATTTGTTGATTGATTAATTGAAGTAATTTGCATGAGAAAAAATAATGACTTAGCGACATATTAAGGAAGGGGTATACTCTAGAAGAGTAGGCTTTTATCATTTGTTATAATGAAGTGTTTTGTTTTTGTTTTTGTTTTTTTCAGATTTCCCTAGTACTTTTACCCCAAACCGTCTGACTTAACTACTGGAGTTTGATCTCTTCCCATTCTTCTCTGGTCATGGTGTCTTTTCTGAATGACTGGTGATAGCAAGCTATAATTAATTGTTCATATTTTAAATGGCATTAGGAAAATTAGTTTGCTGGTGGTGTGGTTATCTTTTTCACCAGTCTGAGAAGTGTAAAATTTGCCCCCCAACTTCGTTAATTGAGCAGCCTTATCTCTTATCAGTCACCATATGTAATTCAGGAGTTACTTTGGTAGATAATCTGTGGCTTTAAGGTTTGAAACAGTAGATCCATATGCAATGTGTTTATTAACAGGTAGGCTCAATACCACTAATGATTTTAGAACTTATATAATGCTACAAAAATATATCTCTAACTTTATATATGTTTTGTATTCTCATTTCTAACCCCAAACTGTTCAATCAAAGATGAAGTGTTAATGTTAATTTATGTCCTTGTTGATGATAAGAAAATTAAATATATTTTTTGTTGACATATAATTCACATAGCATAAAATTCATTGTCTTAGGGTGAAAATATAGTGGTTTTTAGTATAGTCACAATGTTGTGCAACTAATGCCAGTGACTAATTCCACTACCCCAAAAAGAAACTCCATACCTGTCAGTCACTCTACATCTCCCCCACCCTCCAGTCTCTGGTAACAACTCATCTACTTTCTATTTGTGGATTTGCCTATTATGGATATTTCATAAAAATAAAATCTATTTTTTAAAATTTATTTAGACACTACCAGAAACATCTTTACCAAATTATGCCACAAATTTGAAAGACAAGAGTTCTTTAGTTTCATCTTTGTATAAAGTTATCCAAGAGCCACAAAGTGAGGTAAGTATTCTTACAGTTTATTGTGCTAGTAGTATTCAGTTGATTTTTAATTTTTTATTGTGAAATATCACATATATATAAAAGAGTTAGAAAAAGTATATGTGTAAAGAACTTAAATATATATTATGGATTGTTTACTGATTACATTGAGAAGTAACATGATTTTTTACATGTTAAAAAATGGTTGAGTAAAAAAAAGAACTATAGTAAAATGAGCTTCACTGTACCATCCACTAGGCCAAGAAATAGAATTATTACTATATTCTAAAAGCCATCTGTAGACATGTTCCTCCTCCTCTATCTATCTATCTGTTCATCTATCTATCATCTATCTATCTTGCTAGAGGTAGCCTAGAAAGTCAGTGTCATTATATTTATAAATTCATTCAGCAAACATTTGTATACTTGCTATAAACCAGCTTCAATGCTAGGAATAGAAAATCAAAGATGAATAACACATGGTCTTTATCCTGAAAGTGGAAAGGGAGAGACAATAAGTAAATACATGCTTTCAATGGAATGCTTAGATGGATATGCATAAGTTTTCCAGATATGAAAGATGAAAGGATATTCTAAGCTGTTGGGATAGTATATGGAGGGCTGAGAAAATGTAAAACATTTAAGGAATGGCAAGCAGTTTTGTCTGGCTGTTGTTTCTTTTCCTCCCTTTTTTTCTCTTGCCCTCATCTCCTTCTCTTTTTTTAGAAAGGAAATTTAGTTCGAAGGTGATAAAATGATCTGTACTTCAGATTCTGGTGCTCTTAAATCCCACCATTCATAGTAGAATAGAAAAGGATTGGAAATAGTGTGGAAAATAAAAGGCATGGCATTTGTAAAAAAGCAAGTAGGCTAATGCAATAGTTAACAAGAGAATAAAACTGGTAGTGAACTGAAGCTGGAAAGACTGGTTTAGGTCATAACCATGGTGGGCCTTGAATTCCATCATAAGCAGCTTAGACTTTTGCACTGAAGGTATGACTTGATCAGATTACTGTTTCAGGAAGGTGGCTACGTGGAGGATAGATTGGAGAATGGAAAAATGAAAGCAAGACTAGGATACTAGGATAATAGCCTAGGAGGAAGCTATTGAGAATGGAAAGAGGTGGAGTAGAGATGAGGGATATGAGGTATGTAATTCTTTTTGTACTTAAGTTTGATAGATGACATGGCAGCTCTAACACCACTAATCTTATTATTCGAAGGTAAAATTAACTTATACCTTGGAGACCGGCCCTGTGTGGATCTATGTGCCTTTTGGATTAACCTCTCAAAACTAGAGTTTATTGTTATTTGAGTAGTTAATCTCTTCAGGAAGGGGTCTGGGAAAACCCAGCTTTTACTGATTATGCTATAAAGTGCATCATGACTTTTAAGTGCAGAAGAAAAGACTAGGGATGAAACTGACAAGCCCAAAACTTTACCTGGAATAACTGAATAATCACAAAAATCCTTCCTTTTCCCCCAAAGCTCTGTAATTTGTATAGCATATATAGATAGCTTGTTTTCTTGAAGTGTTTTAGGTTTTAAAGTATTTCGATGGAAGCTATTTTAAAGTTTTCCGTATTTGTAAATTATTTCACCAGAGTAAGTATAGGTATAGCTTTATTACTTTTTTAAAAAATGAAATCTTGTTTCTAATTTACTGCTTTGTATTTTGAAATTACCCTGTGATGAAGGTTGTTTTAACGAGGCTACTTTGGATATAGTTTGTAAGGTAAATTTCTGATAGGCTAGTTTGGTGTACAGCATTTCTTTTATTCAAAGTGAATATACAACTCATGGTTCAGAGCAGTATTTCTCTTTTTTTTTTTTTTTTGCAGATAAAGTGTTTTATTATTATTATTATTTTTTTACAAATAGTTTATTGTCAAATTGGTTTCCACATAACACCCAGTGCTCATCCCCACAAGTGCCCTCCTCCATGCCCATCCCCCCTTCCCCCCTCATCCATCAGTCCTCAGTTTTTGTCAGCATTCAAGAGTCTCTCATGGTTTGCCTCTCTCCCTTTCCCCCACCATTTCCTCCCTTCTTCTCCCCCTTGTTCCTCTGTTAAGTTCCTCCTAATCCTCCTATACGTGCAAACATATGGTATTTGTCCTTCTCTGCCTGACTTATTTCGCTCAGCATAACACCCTCAAGGTCCATCCATGTTGCTACACAAGGCCAGATTTCATTGTTTCTCATTCAGAGCAGTATTTCTCAAAGTATTTGTGGTAAAGGACCAGTTTTAAAAAAAAATTCAGTCTGTTGCAGACAATATGTGTACCTAATGCATGATTAACGTGAAACTCATATCATATGTAAGGTAACACACAAATTTGATAACCCTTAACTGATCTATACTATATCCTGTTCAGTAAGTCTGCTGAACACTAACTTGGATGGTGTAGCAATATCCAGTTGCTGTAAAAGTTTCTTAATGTTTCCTCTCAATTTCTGTATTTACATTGTTTCCTCTCAATTAATGATAACATCATAGGGCACCTGGGTGGCCTAGTCGGTTAAGCGTCAGCATCCGACTTTGGCTCAAGTCATGATCTCACAGTTTGTGGGTTTGAACCCCGTGTCAGGCTCTGTGCTGACAGCTCAGAGCCTGGAGCCTGCTTCATATTCTGTGTCTCCCTCTTTCTCTGCCCCTCTCCTGCTCATGCTGTTTCTCTCTCTATCAAAAATAAATAAAAACAGGGGCACCTGGGTGGCTTAGTCAGTTAAGCGTCCGACTTTCGCTTAGGTCATGATCTCGTGGTTTGTGGGTTCAAGCCCCGCGTTGGGCTCTGTGCTGACTGCCAGCTCAGAGCCTGGAGTCTGTTTCAGAGTCTGTGTCTCCCTCTCTCTCTGACCCTCCCCTGCTCACGCTGTCTCTCTCTCTCTCTCTCTCCTAGAAATAAATAAAAAAATATTTAAAAAAAAATAAATAAAAACAAAAAAACCCCAAAAAACAAAAAATCTATTAATGATAACATTTGTGGATGGTCTTCAGTCCACGGACCATGCTTTTAGAAGCACTAGTTTAGGAGATTTTGCATTTAAGTTTGTTTTATGCTTTTAGCCAGATTCATGTGGTGAAGACACATGACAGTGTGTATTCTGTATTCTTAAAACACAATTCAATCTTAAAAATATATTTAGAAGCACTTCTAAAATATAACAGTGTAATCTATTTTAACATCATAACCCTCCTTTTTCTCTTTAGAATGTTTTGTATCTTAATTTGGAAATATTCCCATAATGTTGCTATCATTCATTGTCTTTTGGGATTTTTGAAATTTGGGACATTTGTTTGGGTATTTTTGAAGTTTGGCAAATTTGGTATTTGGATTTTATTAATAGTACTTTTTTATTATTTAGTTTAATTCATTTAGTATTTGTTGAACCCATATAATGTTCCAGAAATCACTTAGAAATGTAGCAGTGAACAAAATAGACTAAAATCTTTTTTAAAGTGTATTTATTTTGAGAGAAAGAAAGAGAGATGGAGGGAGGGAACACATGTGCATATAGGGGAGGGACAGAGAGAGAGAGAGGGAGAGAATCCCAGTCTTTGCACTGTCAGCTCAGAGCCCAACATGAAGCTCACTCCCATGATTTGTGAGATAAGATCAAGAGCTGAGCTGAGATCAAGAGTTCTACACTTAACTTGGAGCCTGGGTGGCTCAGTCAGTTGAGCATCCGGCTTCGGCTTAGGTCATGATCTCACCATTCGTGGGTTTGAGCCCTGCATTGGGTTCTGTGCTGGCAGCTCAGAGCCTGGAGCCTGCTTTGGATATTGTGTCCCCCTCTTTTTCTGACCCTCCCCTGCTCATGCTGTCTCTCTCTCTCTCTCTCTTAAAAATAAATTTAAAAAACTTAAAAAAAGGGCTCTACACTTAGCCAACTAAGCCACCCAGGTGCCCCCAAATAAACTAAGTTCTTGATCTTCTGCATCAGAACCTTTAGGTGAGATAGACGTTATGCAAATGTCTAAATGTATAATACAGTGTCAAGTAGTGAAAAAACTATGAAGATAAACAAAGTGGAGTAGGTGAAGTATGTGTTGAGATTCAGGAGCTCCTGATTGAACCAGGTCTGAATGATTTAGGGGGAGAAAATAAAACTAGGGGCAAGAGTCTCCAGAAGAGGGAGTAGTAAATGCAAAGACCCTGAGATAGGAATATATGTTATACTCAAGAAATTGTAGAGGCAGTTTATGGGTACAGTGCAATTTGCTTGACTGGTCTATCTATCTATCTAATCTATCTGTTTCTTTAAAGTGGGGCTTGAATTCACAACCCTGAGATCAAGACCTGGGCTGAGATAAAAAATCAGACACTTAACCGACTGAGCCATCCAGGAGCCCCTTGATTGGTCCTTTTAATTGCTATAACTTTAAGAGAAGCATATGATTAGACGCTAACAGAGCTCAAGTCTGTTATGAAGCCAGCTATTTTTTGAAAGAACCACATAAAATCTCTTTGGTGTTCTAGGCATAGGGAGCCCAGAGTATGGAGAGATCAGTTTAGTGGCTATGGGCACCTGAATAGTGGTGTCCTTCCAACTTCTGTATTTTTTCCTACCTATGTGCCTCAGTTAATAGTTCAATGCAAAAAAAAATGCGCAAGATTTTCTCGTAAATTTATCCAATCTTAACTCTTTTCTAACTTCTATTCCTGCTTTAGTCATGGAAAGGCATTTAAAAAAATATTTAAAATAAATGTTAACTTATTTTGAGAGAAAGAGAGGGGAAGGAAGCACGTGCATGAACGGGGGAAGGGGAAGAGAGAGAGGGAAAGAGAGAGAATTCCAAGCAGACTGTGCTGTCAGCTTAGAACCCAACGTGGATCTCAGTCCCACGAACTGTGAGATCATAACCTGAGCTGATATCAAGAGTCAGATGCTTAATAGACTGAGCCACCTAGGTACCCCTCAAAAGCATTTTTTTCTAATGCCACATTTCTGTTACCATTAGAAATCACTCTTAGGATGGGCTCATGGGTGGCTCAGTCAGTTCAGCATCTGACTTTTTTTTTAATGTTTTTTCTTTTCTTTTCTTTTCTTTTTTTTTCTGAGAGGGAGAGAGACAGCATGTTCAGGGGAGGGTCAGAGAGAGAGGGAGACATCTGAAGCAGGCTCCAGGCTCTGAGCTAGCTGTCAGCACAGAGCCCGACGCGGGGCTTGAAACCACAAACCGTGAGATCATGACCTGAGCCAAAGTCGGATGTTTATAACCGACTGAGCCACCCAGACACCCCAAGCATCTGACTCTTGATCACAGCTCAGGTCTTGATCTTAGGGTCATGAGTTCAAGCCCTGTGTTCGGACTCCACACTGGGTGTGGAGCCTACTTAAAAAAGAAAGAAAGAAGGAAATAAATCTCTCTTAGGATACAGACTTCTTATCTAAAAATAGATTTTTATTAAAAGTTTATTTATGACTTGTTTTAGAACTCAGAATATATTTTAGAATGGTAAGAAGGTTATGATTAGGTTCTCATTAGATCCATAAAAAGCCCATTTAACACCTGAAAATATGCTTGCAGTACAGTTCTTTATTAATAGTATTGTAAAATCCACCCACCAAATAGAACAATATATCCATGAAAAAATATATATGAAAATTCAAACCAAACACTAGTAGCACAATATGTTCTAATGCTCCATTACCTGTCTCAAACATATTCAAGTTAGGTAAGCCAGATCTACCTACATTATATATTTTTCTATTCTTTTCTGATATTTTTCAGGTGTGCTTGTAAAGGAGTCAAAAAGTGTTGGCTCCAGTTCTGACCTTTGTGAGCTGTATAATTTTGGTCGTATTAGATAGCGTCTTTGTCAAGTGCTTTCAAAGTGCTTTGCCAGTTATAAAACACTGCACAGATATTGGTATTTCTCTCGATTTGACATACATAATTTCATTTAATCTCATTGCAACATCATAATTTCTCCACCTCACTGAATTTGTCTTTATTTGGTTTTGCTTTTGTAAAGCAAAACCCTTTTAGTTAAAAAAATTTTTTTTAATGTTTATTCATTTTTGAGAGAGCGTGAGTGGGGGAGGGGCAGAGAATGAGGGAGACATAGAATCTGAAGCAGGCTCCAGGTTCTGAGCTGTCAGCACAGCTGTCAGCACAGAACCTGACATGGGGCTTGAACTCAGGGACCATGAGATCATGAACTGAGCCAAAGTTGGACGCTTAACCAACTGAGCCACCCAGGCGCCCTAAAACCCTTTTAATTTTGATTTAAGTTGATTGATTATAAGGTCTTTGGAGGGTGGCTTGACTAAAATTTGTGTGTTCATGCAGATTATTGAATAAATTTTCAATACAAGATTTCATAAGTTTGCAAATACTTGTTAGATTATATCAATGGATTTAACCAAAGCTCTCTTAGGTATTTAGAGATGAGGGATGTTCTACAACAATACAAGATTATCGACACTGGTCCACAAAGAAATTTTAAAAAACTCCCCCCTGAAAGCTAAACATCTCCCTACCAATTTTTCTTTTCACCTACTACCATAACCCAATTATTCCAAATTCCTACCTCAAAAACTTCTCCTGCTACCTATGAATGGGGTGACTTTGCCTCTAACCTCCAGTTTCTTGTTACCCTTGCCATACCACAGTGGACACCTGTTGCCCTCTAACAACCATTTTGAGAGTAAAAAAAAAAAAATTCTCCTTAACTATCAGAAGTTAGATAATTTTTCAAGAGGAAAGACTAGTTTGACTTAATGTTCATTAAAGTGTAACTTTTGCTATACTTTGTATAAATAATACTGACTTTAATTATACCCAGTATACTTTACATAATTTAACATATTTGAAATCAAAACATCTACTGTAAATTAGTTTCTGTTTATTACAGTTACTGGAAGTAGAAAATCTGTTTAGTAAATTGACTTAAATCTGTTGCTTAAGTTAGTGACATGAATGAACTACAGTTCACTGAAAATATAATAGCCTGATGCTTTGAAAAATCAGTACCCTGTGACATATTTATGACTCGTGTGTGATGATTGTTTATGCTTTAAGATAATACTTACATTTGAGTCACTTATGTTAACTTTCTGATTAAAAAATGTCTATGATATAGATACAGTCAGCTCTATTGACTGGGTAATGCTGGCTGGCATGTAGTGGGAGAGGAAAACGTTATAAATAACTGTAAATCCTGTTTCAAACAAAATGGCAGCAATGTTTAGATTATCCAGGGGCAATTAACCATGGTTACAATAGGGATCTAGATTTAGAGGTGCTGTATTTATTCAGCTGCTCCACACACATAGCTTTTGTATGCTGCCTAATTATAAGCTCAGGAGGGTGATGTGATGATAACTACCTAGGATTCCCATTTCAATTTCTCCATCCCAGTAGCCAATCTTGTATATATTGGCATGTTTTATCAGGAAGCAGGATATTAAGAATATTAAGGAAGAAACTTCTTACAGCCTAGCTATTTTAATAAGTTAAAAAGATATGGTTTAAATACCAACACTACTTTAGAGCTAACAGAATATTTAAAAGTTTGTAAGGCTTTCAAATACATTTATTTTGAAATGTCTGGCCTTCCACTAGAAGTAAACTTCTGAAGGTTGGCTAAATAGCTTAGCAGTGAATAGTTTTGCTTCCAAAAAAATGAAAACATTTATATATTTCAGTAATTATCAACAGGGAAAAACCATTTGTATTTCAAATGTCAGTGTCTATTCAAATACAGTAGAACCCTTGAATTAACACTGTCTTTTTTCCAGTTGCTAGAACCCGTCTGTCACCAACTCTTTGAATTCTATCGCAGTGGAGAAGAGCAATTGCTTCGATTTACACTGCAGTTTCTTCCAGAATTGATTTGGTGCTACCTTGCAGTCTCAGCCAGCAGAAATGTGCATAGCAGTGGATGTATCGAAGCTCTTCTTCTAGGGGTTTACAATTTGGTTTGTATTTAATATACTTAACAAATGTTTGCCAAAAGCAAGTCTATAACCTTTATAGCAAAAGTGAATACATAATAACAACTACTTTGCATTTTAGTAAAGCTAGTATTTGTTTTTCTTTTTTAATTTTTTTTTAATGTTTTATTTATTTTTAGGGGAGAGAGAGACAGCGTGAGCTGGGGAGGGTCAGAGAGAGAGGGAGTCACAGGCTGAAACAGGCTCCAGGCTCTGAGCTGGCAGTCAGCACAGAGCCCGACGCGGGGCTCGAACCCACGAACCGCGAGATCATGACCCAAGCGAAAGTCGGACGCTTAACCGACTAAGCCACCCAGGCGCCCCTAGTATTTGTTTTTCATTCATCAAAAGACTCATATCTAATTCTCCTAAAAATAACTTTTTTGAGTTGAAGGGTATACAGGCACACATAGAATTATGTAAATATACCTTTTGGGATTGACTGAAGACTGAGAATCAGACCATTTCAGTTCTTTTATAGAGGTATCTAAAAATATGTGTTGAATTTTAAATTTTTTAAACTTAAAATCTGTTGTCTATAAATTATCTGTTAGTGACCTTCACAAAAAGCTTGGGAAAAAAAGATCTAGTCTAATATGTGCCACTAATAATTTCATAAATCTGAATTGTCTCCAGAGTTTATACCATTGACTTAACATATAGTTTGCATTACTCTTTGTTTATTAATCAGTATGATATTCTACATATTTAAGGTTTGTACTTTGTAAAAAAAAAATTGAGGGGGCTTTTCTTGACGTATTTCATAACCATGTTAATTGATTTATAAAATGTGACTTTTTACATGAGAAAAATCAGTGATTATTGATAGAGACACTGCACATCTCTATTTCAGCCTTCCTTAAAATTGTGTCACTTATATCGTTTTTGCTGTTGTTGTTATCTGTATCTTAAGAGAGGAAGGTTAACTTCTGGTGTTTATAAATAATTGATCATTGATTGTCTTTATGATTTTAGTCAACTTTAAAATTCCTTTCTTCTCAGATCTTTGTTTTTAGACTAACAGTTTAAAGTTGGCTCTTAAACTTATGTGCAAAAAATAAATATTTTTAAGATTTTTTTCACTTTTATAGGAAATAGTTGACAAACAGGGACATAGCAAAGTATTGAGTTTTACGATTCCATCTTTATCCAAACCATCTGTATATCATGAAGTAAGTAATATTTTATCAAAGTAAATTTTTTAGTTCTAAGATTTAAAGTTGTTATAAATTAGGGTCTGGTTATTGAGGCAAAAAAAGATTAAATTATTGGTATAAAAATTAAAAAGTATAAAACACACACAAAATATTTACTATTCACAAAGTGAAATAAGAACTTGGGATCATAAAGCTTTAAAATCTGTAAGAAAGCTCGCAAATAATCATTTTGAAATATTTTTCTCTTCTGATCAATAAAACTAGTCTAATATTTTTGTGTGTGGCAGTTATGTATTTCTGGGGTAGAATTTTTTAATTAAGTTCTTATTTTAATTCACCCAGTGTTGAGGTAGACTTTTTGAATGTAAACTATTTTTATTTCTATTTGTGGTTTGTATTTTAATTATTTGCTAAACCTTTGAGCAGAAAATTTAGTATGCAGTCGGAATATTTTTAAGACATATGATGTTCATGACAATCATTGTTAGTGGTGCATATATTATCAATAGCACATTTTCACCAGAATGGCTTTTTTTCCTTTATTCAAATGTCTCTCCTTTAGCCTTCCAGCATTGGGTCCATGGCTCTGACTGAGAGTGCACTATCCCAGCATGGTTTGTCAAAAGTTGTGTACAGTGGACCTCACCCCCAAAGGGAGATGCTGACAGCACAGAATAGGTATACTGTGGAGACATAACCTGCTATTTTACCACACTGGTTTTTAAAAAATTGTTTCAGTAGATTAATAGATAATCTTTAGTGAGTTGTATGTAACAGGTTTTTTTTGTTTTTTTGTTTTTTTGTTTTTAATATCGGGTCATTTTATACAAGAGAAAAACACACTTTCCTGATTTGTCACTTTATACTTTGATTTAGATGTCATCTGGTACACTGAAATTTTAAGATAATTTTCAGATGACTGTAACTTGGGAATTCTTTTTTCTTTTTAGTTTTATATTGTTACTGGTATAATTATATTGTGTACAAGTCTGTTCCATACAGTATCTTTCCCCAATGCCTGCTAAATTATGATTGACTTCTTGGAATTCTAAACATTTGTAAATATTCTTTTGGTTTATCTTTAGGTTTGAAGTATTGACATTCCTTTTGTTGTGTTACAATGCTGCCTTAACCTATATGCCCAGTGTTTCTCTTCAGTCATTGTGTCAGATTTCTTCCAGGTAAATAAAAATTCAAATGTTTTTAATATTGAAATATATGAATCTAAGATTGCTAGTGTGTTACATATCTAAGTTATTTTTGTTTTGTTTAATCATTTGTTTAAAACATTCGAGAAGTTAATATGAAGCTTAGCCTAGTTAACACATAGAAAACTCCCTATAAATGAGAGTTCCAAAAAACATAATGAAGAGGGTACAGCTGAAAAACATTTCAGTGGAATATTTAATCAGAAAAGATCTTTCTGTATAATTAAGAGAGTGCAACTGTTAATGACTTTTTGATTTTTGGCATGCAGTTGGTTTCTGTTTTGTTTGTTACTTTGTTTTTACTAATTTTATTGTGCTCTAATTTGGTACCAAGAAGTGAATAAGAGATACTAGTTTTTAAACTCCCCTTGTTAAAAAAAACAAAAAACAAAAAACAATTGAGCCAAGAGGTTGCTTAAATAAATTATGACAGTCCTTATGTAGACTACACAAACATTTAAAAATTCTGATTTAAAAGGGTATTTAATGATAGTATATATGGTATCATTCCAGCATTGACTGAATGTGACCAGAATTTTAATAATATTTCTGTATAAGTGGTGGAATTATGGTTTATTTTCATTTTTTCCTGTGTGAGTTTTTTGTCATTCTTTACATTTTCTATGATGAACATATTACCTTTTTAAAAAAGAAAACAAAAGAGAAGACAGAGAAAATGCCTTTGGAAATTCAAGTAATAAGGAAAATATGGAGTTAAGAAACTTGTAGAATAATTTAGATTTGGGGAACTTATTTAGGAGATACAGCTTTGGAAAGTTAGTAAGAGGGAGGGTATATAGAGCAGTACTTAGAAATCAAATCAAAACAACAACAACAAAAAAAACCACAAGAAAACCAGAAACTGATACCGAATAGGATAGAAAATCTCTTGATACAGAGGGAGAAGGGAAGTAACAAGGTGAGGGACTTATTAGAGAAGACAGAGAAGTGAAGAATCTTTCAGATGATTCCTGAATTGGAAGTTATTTGTATTTCCCAGACCAGTTGTATTTCCCTCCCATTTACTGAAGCTTTCTAATATGTTTCTTATTTTAAATCCTTTAAAGAGAGAAGTGTCCAGAGTTTTGAATTTCGTAGACCTGTAAAATTTCAAAAAGTTAGAGCAGGTGGGATAGTTATATAGCATTGCCAACTTTAATTTTGCCAAGTCATTATCTTATACATTTCTACCATTAACATTATTTAAAAAAAGGGAGGCAATTTGAATATCAAAAGAAGTGGGGAGGTAGAAATGAGGGACAATTTATAAATTAAAAATAGGATGTTTAGCTTTTCTTGTTTCTCATGTCACTGTGATCTAGTGAAAACTTTGTAATGGACTAAAATGAGTGTGAGGACTAGTACTTCAGAAACACTTATTTAAGGGGTAACTTGATGTAGCAGCTTTTACTTGTAGAACGTAAAACACACTATACAGCCCAGGTCTCACTTGAAAGCAGTGTCTTAGTTGGTAGGACCCAGGAATAATGTTCTAATACATTTGAAGCTCTAATGTTCTAATAGAGACAGATCATACAACCTCTTAAATAAGAATGACTATTGATGTTTTCTTGAAATCACTGATGGAAATGTTAGGAAAGAACATTTATGATGGGTTTCTGTCCTGTGTGACTCCTATGGACTGTCCTGTAATATAATTACTTACACATTTTGATAGAAAATTGCTAATATACCAGTTTTAACTAACCAGGGAACTGGGTAATCCTTCAAAAGCACAAGTAATATCCGGTTTTAAAAACAAGGAGAAATACAGATTAAAAACTTGCTGTAGGATTTTGGCCAAGAAGATTTTAGTAGAGACACATTAGATTAATTCTATGCCATCAAAGAAAAATTGGAAGAGAAATCTTTGTACAAATGTTCACCAAATGGAAGAGAATGAGGGAGGAAAGAGAGCTAAGTAATTCAAAAGACTTAAGCTATTTAAGTAATGCTAACTCTTAAGCCACAGAAGATGATGTGATAGAAGGAAGATAGAAGATAGAGGTGATAGAAGATAGAAGGATAGATAGATGTGATACAAGATAGAAGGAACTCTATCAAATTTATCATACATGTCTTTTTTAGTTTATCTTTTTTAAGATTCCCTATTCCTGTGTTCTCAATGGTTTAAAATCTAGTTATTCATTTCTCTTAACTGCTGATTTCCTTGTTTATCACATATTCTAATTAAGATATTTTGTACATTTTTAAGACTAATAAAAAAGAATGAAAAAACACTTGTATCTAATCAAGCAAAGCTTAGTCCATATCTATGGAAAGGAAATTGATTACAGGACTGTGATGACAAATAAGTTATAAATACTTATGATAGTGAAAGTACAGGAGCTTCTTAGTCCTAGGGCAGGCTTTCCTGAAGAATGAAGTTATCACACTTAAGGCTACTCCAATCCTTGACCACGTGGCAGTTGTTTTAGATTGCTACTCAATTTGGTTGTTGATGATGACTATGCCAAAATGATTGACTGCATTATCTAGGAGGAAGGATACATAAATACAACCAGAAAAATTTCATGGAGGATTTGAGCTAGATTCAGTGATATATGTATCCCATTCTTTCTTTAACCTGCTGATTGTAATGAATTATGGAAGTAATTAAAACAATCTTGGATGCTTCCCATCCTCCATCCGTACATACATATCCCTTCTGGGGACACCACTGGTTGTGTGTCCAGCTCTTGATTTGGGCTCAGGTCGTGATCCTAGGCTCAACTGTCACTTTCTTAGAGAGGCCTTCTATGACCATCTTTCTGAAGTCGCACCTTCCCACCTCAGTTTATGTTCTTTTAGGACTTACAACACTGTAACCACCTTGTTTGTTCATCTGAGACATAGTCTGTCCATTGCTGGAACTTGATTAGGTCAGGAACTTTGTTGTGTTCACTACTGTATCTTCAGAGTTGAGAGAAGTGCCTGGCATACAGTAGAACCTAATAACAATTTGTTGAATAATGAAAAATAGATGATCTCTTCCACTTCAGATTTATGATCCACTAAGTATAACTATCACTAAAGGAAATAATTCATTTTCAAAAAAATCTTACATTGGGGCGCCTGGGTGGCTTAGTCGGTTAAGCGTCCGACTTTCGCTTAGGTCATGATCTCGCGGTTTGTGGGTTCGAGCCCCGCGTCGGGCTCTGTGCTGACTGCCAGCTCAGAGCCTGGAGCCTGTTTCAGTCTGTGACTCCCTTTCTCTCTGACCCTCCCCTGCTCACGCTGTCTCTCTCTCTCCTAGAAATAAATAAAACATTTAAAAAAAAAATCTTACATTGAGAAATGCAAAATTCCTGCAGTCAATTCATACAAATGGGTAAAGTTTTGTTAGTTCTGAGAAACTAACCACTATGGCCTGAATGTTTGTATCCCACCCCAGAATTCATATGTTGAAATCTTAATATCTAAGATGATGGTATGAGGATGGTATTAGGAGGTGCTGTCATACATAGCCAAGAGATGCCAGAGTTCCCTCCTTGTTTCTTCTGCCATTGAGGATACAATGAAAAGTCTATAAACCTCAAGAGAGGTCCACTCATTTTGTTGTACTGTGTTGTAGCAGCCTGAATGGACCAAGACTAATCCTTTGCATTTCTAAATAAAGGTTTTAGTTCATTCTCTAACATATGATTGCGTACTTCTGTTTGGGTAGCCAGTAGAGAAAATCAGAACCTGAAATCCTATTTCTCTTGTGAATCTTACAGGTGTGTTGCTGTCTGAGAGAATTCTCTATTTCTTACCTCAAGTAAATTTAAAAGTTGATTGGCCATTCTAGATCTATGGCAAAGTTGTTTTTAAAAACATTGTGTATAAACAGCAATAACTTCTTTTTCTGTCTATATCTTCTATCCTGAATCCTATAGTTACTTCCTGATTCTAAACCTATATATCCAGTCCAGTAGCCATCTCTATAAAGATGTCTTATAGGGGTAGCTGGTTAGCTTAGTCGATGAAGTGTCTGACTTTGGCTCAGCTCATGATCTCATGGTTCATAAGTTCAATCCCCACGTCGGGCTCTCTGATGTCAGCACAGAGCCTGCTTCAGATCTTTTGTTCTCCCCTCTCTCGGCCCCTCCCTCCCTCCCTCAAAAATAAACATTTAAAAAACGATGTCTTACCTTGAAAAAGTTAGAACTCATTTTTGCTGCAACTAATTGATAATCTACATAAAACTAGATTATACTAAAGGGAAATTTTTTTTGGCTCTTTGTACCTGGGAAGAGCAGGGACGGAACTGGCCTCAGGATCAGTTAAATCGAGAGGCTCAAATGTTAATCTGGATTTTCTCTACCATCTCTCTCTCATCTTCTTCATCTATTAGTGTTGTATTTTCTTTGTGTAAATAGGCTTCTTCCAGGTTGTAAGAAGAGTGACCACAAGCAGCTGAAAGCTTACATTGTCTACCTTTAATGAACTCATTAAAGTGAAAGGATCTCACTCCCAGTTTTACTCTGAAAAACAAGGTAGCGACAAGGCTTTGATGTTGCAAGCCTGAACTTCTACAAACCCCTCTAGGGTCACATTTGGTAGTGTTATTGGATGAGTACTATATCAGTTTGAATAGTGGTAACTTAAATAGATATTTATTTTTCTTTCACATAAAAGTCGAAGCTGGTAGATAGTCTGGGGATAGACTGGTTATATTTCTAAGGTATTCAGGCTCCTTCTTTCTTGAGATTCTGCCATTCCCTAGGATGTTATTCTTTTCTGTATGGTGACGGATCACTATTATTACATCTGCCTTCTATTCTACAAGCTTGGAGAAAGAAAGGAAGGCATGCAGCTACTTTTTAAGGGTGCAACCTAGAAGTTTCACCCCGTCAGTTAGCATATCATTGTCCAGAACCTGTCACATGGCCACACCTAAATACTAGGAAGACTAGGAAATGTGGTCTCTAGCAGGTGGCTATTGTTCTAGTTAAAATTGATTGGGGAGAGTGGAGGAGAGCATACCTTATATATGTCATTAAAGGCAAGAAGAAAAAAATAGATATTAGGATATTGACCTCTTGTCACAGGTAATTCTGTTATTTTATTTATACTACAATCACATGATTATACTTGATGACATAGAGGAAGACTAGTTCCTAAAAGTAAGAGGGATAGAGGTGCTATTAATGGAAAACATTAGTTTCAGGGGGAGAGCTTATGTCAGACAAAAGTGACAGCTATACCAGATACCTACAAATCAACATATCTGATACTTAGCATCTTCCAAAACAATACATCTTATTTGTCCACGTTCATTTAATAACACTACCATCTAGCCAGCTATCCAACTAAATGTGGGAAAATTTCACACTCCTCTTGTTTCCTCAGTCTTAGTCCATGATTATACTTCCTAGATGGGACTTCAATCCCACCCTTTCTCCTTCTCCTCACATTACTTCTATAGCTCAAGCCACCTTCATCTCACTCATGGGGTATTTTGACACTCTCCTCTTGAGGAACACTATTATCAAGACCAATCTGAACATGTCACTCCTTTGCTTCAAACAACAAAACAAAAGCCTTCAGTTGCTTTCCTTTGCCTGCATGATAAAGCTTAGCAGGTTATAAGATACTCCACGATCTGACCCGAGTTTGCATCTCTGTTACTTTTCTAGTGTCTTTCTATCCTCAGTCTCCTTGGTGTCATGCTGTTTAATCCTCCTCTGTTTTTGCCAGTTGCTATATTTTCACCAGGAAAACGCCACTTTTTCTTCAAGGCTTACTTATTCTGGGAAGCCTTCTCTGATCCTCTGCTTCTGCCACTAGAGTTTACCATTCTCTGCTTTTGTCACCTTTGCATTTTATTCATTGCAGGTATTTTTTACTACACAGTCTGAATCCCTGAGGGAACTACATCTTTCATCTATATTCCTAGTGTTTGACACAATGTAAATCTTTAAAAATATTTACTGAATGAATAAATGCATTAATTGAAAAAATCCTATCTTTTATGTATTGATTCTCTATTATTTACTACTATCCCTATCATAAAGGTATATAACATGCAAGGAAATAAAATTTTTCTGAGCTTCCTTAGATAATAAGAGGAGTTTCTATTCTAGTTTGTATATAAATTTTTATAACATCAAACAACATTTGAATTGGTTTTATTTTCATGTACAGTTAATTTTTTTCAGTTTTTATTTTAGTCATCTCCGGCTACTATAGCAAAATACCATAGGCTAGGTGGCTTAAACAATAGGTGTTTATTTCTCACCCTTCTGGCTGAGAAATCTAGGGTCAGGGTACCAGCAGATTTCGATTTGTGGTGAAGGCCCTCTTCCTGGCGTACAGGATACTGCCTTCTCACTGTGCCTTCACATGTGAGAGAGTGGGTTTGGATCTCTCTTCCTCTTTTAATCCCTCCAAGGAGTGTTCCCATCCTCATGACCTCATCTAAGCCTAGTTATTCCTAAGGGTCCCCAAATGCCCTTATATTGGGGGATTGGGGCTTCAGTATATGAGTTTGGGAGGGAACACAAATATTCAGTCTATAATTATCCCTGTTCCTTTTTTGCTCTTGGTTTTAAAGAGTTCTAAGATCCTTCTCAGTATTAAATGAATTTTTATTTTTACTTTAAAGTTACTTTGGGTTAAAAAAAAACAAAGTAACTTTGGATTGATGATAGTCTCAAGGATATATTTTTGAAATGGCCTATGATATACTTTAGCATGTTTAAATGAAGGCTTAGATTCACTGAATGGAGGAAACATTACGTCCTAGGTAGTAATTGTATGTGGGAGCAGGTAAATAATTACAATCTATTGACTAGTACTATAATAAGTGAAGTTTTATTATATCAACCACAGCATGTTATGAGGTAACAGCTATTTTCTAGTTTTATTAAAAATAAAAAAAATAAAAAAGTAGTGCATGTTGATCATAGAAAATTTAGAAAATACATATAAAGAAGAAAATAAATCTATAAGCTCAAGGTTCAGAGATAACTCTGACTTTGTGTATGATCTTTTTGCAGTGACACACACCATTCACCAATTTGTTTATGACAGACATGTGTTCTGTACAGTTTTTCCCCCTGCCATTTAAATAAAGGCTTTCAAAACATCATGTTTAATTGTTTCATAGTATTCTCTGAATGATTTATATGATTGGGTCTCTGTGTTGGTCCTTTACGTAGCTTCCTATTCACTATAGTAAGTACGCTATAATAAATAATTTAAATTTAAATTTAATAATAAATAAATTTCAGCTTTGTTCATGGTAGTTTCTTTAAAAAATAGTAAAATCTATTGGTCTTTCTCTAAGATTTTACCTTTGATGTTATGCTTAAACTTGTAAAGAATGTGTAACTACTTCTGTTTTATTTCTTTTATGGTTTTTAACATTAAAAATTTCAAACTATCTCAATTTATTATGGTGTACTATATGAGACTTGAGTCTAATTTTAGAGTATTTTCTTAGAGGCTGCAGTTTGTGTCAAGAACTTTGTCAGGAATAGAAGATCATAGATCTATTTGTGATAAATAATACCAAGTTTCATGTAGTAGGTTGTATGGTGACTAAAAATGATCAATTATTGAATTGACTAAAATTAGTGAAATAACTATACAATAACATACCTCTAGCTTTATCCATTTTTTCCCACAGTTTCACTTACTTAGGAATATGTTCTAGACACATGTTCTGTTTGGAAAGATTCTTTGTTTCATAGCTATTTGGTTTGTTATGAGAGCATATGTAGTATGCTATTTGCTTATACATGTTAAAAAAGTAAATTACCTACATTTTTACCAATTTTATAAATATATTTATTTTGTTTTTTCTAGAATCTGTGTTTGTGGCTATCCCCGACAACATGTAAGAAAATACAAAGGTATAAGTAGCAGGATACCAGTTTCTTCAGGATTCATGGTGCAAATGTTAACAGGGATTTATTTTGCTTTGTAAGTTCATTTAATATACAGAGTAAATCTTTGATCTCTCTGGAAAATCACAGTCTATTGTTTTATTGCTTTTTGTTATTTTATTGTTATTATATTAGAATCTCATTGGATGAACAATCAGCCTATTTTTGTGAAAGAATATGAATCAAGATCTTGCTAATAGTTTTATTATTAAAACTTAATGTTCTGAAGAATTTGTAACCAACTAAAACACGTCATCTTTCTTTAACCCAAGGACAGAATGAAAATTAGCAACACCCACATATAATCACAGTTTTTTCTTCATTACTCTTTTTTTTGCTGTAATTTCCAGATAACTTTTTTTCCCCAATGAAGATATTTTTCCATTTCCAGAAATTTTAAATCTTGAAAAACATCTTAGAGCTTCTTGGATCATAAATAGTTATTTTTAATTTACTGTTAATCTCTAATATTAATGCTCAGTCTTATTAATGCCTTAGATACTAGTATTTTTCTTGGACACTATCTTCTACATATATTTTACTATACTTTACATTATATTCATTCACTAATTTTTCTTAGTAGATTATAAACTTCTTGTCTGAAAGCAGAATTTATGATCTTTGGACTAAATATGGACCGCTACCTGTTTTCTTATTATTAAAACACATTTACATCTGTTTTTTACATATTGCCTATGGCTGCTTTTGGTCTACAGTGACAGAGTTGAGTAGTTGCAGTAGAGATTGTATGGCCCACAAGCCTACAATATTTATTATACAGCCCTTTAAGAAAAAGTTTATCGACCCTTGTGTTAGACTATTAATATTGTCCCACAGCTCTTGGATGCTCTAATCTATTTTATTTTCTCTCTTTATTGCTTTGTGTTTCAGATTTAGTGATTCCTATTGACCTATCTTCACGTTCATTGATAGTTTTCATGATGATTTTGAGTCTATTAATGAGCCCATTGAAGGGATTCTTCATTTCTGTTGCTATGTTATTTATTTCTAGTCTTTTCATTTGACTCTTTCTTATGATTTCCATCTCTCTGCTGAAATTACCATCTGTTCACACATGTTTTCCATGTAACTATTTATCATAGTTATTTTAACTTTTATGATAACTACAGAACCTGAATCATCTCTGAATTTGGCTCTATTGTTCGTTGTTTCTTGACAGTGGGTTGTTTTCTTCTTGCTTTTTGTGTGCCTTGTAATATTTGATTTATTATCATTTTGTTCATGGACAGAACAGTAGTGACTGAGGTAAATATTGTTTATGTCTAGAAATGGGCATGCCTCTTTTCTTCTAGGCTTCTAGTGGAGTTATTATAGGCAGGAGTGAGCTGAGTTTGGATTTTGTTGTTGCTATGGTTACCTTTATGGCATCACCTATCTCAGATTTCTCTCATGGTCCCTGACAGTTAGGGTGTGAGCTGGATGCTGGAAGGTTTTTCTCAATGTTCTTGCTTTACCCTCAGCTTTTAGCTTTTTCTGTGTTTCTGTACCTCACAGACAGTCTTTCTTCACATCTTGTCCCTCCTTCAACAATAGAGTGCTATTGCTTGTTTCTAAATGTGTACTAGTTTAGGTAGGGAATTTGGAGGAAGTGGTATTCTCTGTTGCCTGGTCTAGCCTCAGTTATAAGCAGGCCCTATGTCTCTGCATCTGGGGTTCAGGGAAGGAGGGTAGCTCTTCAGTGGTCCTGTCCCTCTTCTGGGGGTAAGAGACCCTTGTAGTCTCAGCATAGGACAATTTCCTGATTCTTTTCCCACCATTCTTTCTTCACCTCTGCCCTTGGGGTGAAAGGGTTTGCTGCTCTTTCCCGAAAGGCTTTAAAACTTTTGTTTCACTTGAGAAAAAGGTTGGCTGCATCTTCCTGTCTTTCTTGCTCAGGTGGCCACTCTTTTCCTTTAGGCCCAAACTAGCAAGAGCAGCTTCCTCTGGTCCCTCATCTTGCCCCCAGTTTTTCTTTTGAGTGCCTAGAGGAGGTATGTGGAAAAGAGCTTGTGTGTGGGTATGAGCTCCTCTTATATCTGCTCCTAGAGATTCTATACTCTAGTGCTGGCCCATACTTGGCTTTTAGCAATTTGTTTAAAAAGTTTAGCTGGGGGCGCCTGGGTGGCTCAGTCGGGTTAGCATCTGACTTTGGCTCAGGACATCTCATAGTTTGTGAGTTCAAGCCCCGCATCGGGCTCTGTGCTGACAGCCTGCTTCAGACTCTCTGTCTCCCTTTCTCTCTGCCCCTCCCCTGCTCATGTTCTGTCTCTTTCTTGCTCTCAAAAATTAAATAAACATTAAAAAAATTAAAAAAAAAAGTTTAGCTGAAGTATTCTTATTTGCTTGCATTGTGACCTGTCTTTCCTCAGAGGCATCTATCTGCCCTTAGGTTTAGGCTACTTGGCTGCCTTGTGACTTTAGCTCCTTGCTGGATTCATGGAAAACTAGGATTTTCTAGATTATCTGACTTTATCTTGTTTTTAGGGTGGGAACAATGCTCTTTCCACTTTTTAGGTCTCACTCTCTTGGTATAATTCATACTTCTTTGTTTTTGTTGGCAGATGACCAAGTCATTATTTCTCTGTCCATTTTTATCATGTATCTAATTTTTAGAGTTTGGCCATATCTTTGAAAATGAATATACATACACACTATCCCCCCCCCCCCCCAGTATCTATTTGATATTTGCAACACTTCTAAATGTACACTTCTAAATGACTGTAAATGGGGCGCCTGGGTGGCTCAGTTGGTTAGGTGTACGACTTTGGCTCAGGTTATGATCTTATGGTTCATGGGTTCGGGCCCCGTGTCGGGCTCTGTGCTGACTGCCAGCTCAGAGCCTGGAGCCTGTTTCAGTCTGTGACTCCCTCTCTCTCTGACCCTCCCCTGCTCACGCTGTCTCTCTCTCAGAAATAAATTAAAAAACATTTAAAAAAATCTAAATGACTGTCAAAATGCAAAGAAGTAACTACTGAAGAAACTGTAAGCCACAGTAATTGTAGATTTTCACTAAAAACTGTGGGAGTTAGAGTAATTTGACCATAAAGTGTTCTGAACATTATTCTATTGTATATAATTTATTATGCTCTGACTTGGTTTGATAGTGTAAAATGCTTTGAGATTGCCTAGTTTTTTTTGTATCTGGTCTATAAATAGACATGTTCTTTAGAGAAGAAATATAGATGTATAAAATTTTCTTTGCTATTAATAGGCTTTTGGATACAATTGAAAGGAATTCAAAGATATAAAAATAGGTCTTTAAGGAGGGTGGAGTGCTAGGCAGTGTGCTAATGTGATCTATTATTTTACTCAGCAAACAGTTTCTCATTGTATTTTGTTCAAATATATGAATTAATTAAAAATAATTAATACATTTCTTCATTTAATTTTGTAGTTATAATGGAGAATGGGATCTAGCTCAAAAAGCACTGGATGATATTATATACAGAGCTCAGCTAGAATTATATCCAGAGCCATTGCTGGTAGGTGCCTCACTTGTTTATGTAAATTTTATAATTTAAGATTTCTCAATTTAGAACTATAAACTGAGAAGTAGCCATTCACAGTGCATTAATGTCATTAAACTCAGTGATTCATGCTGTTATACTAGACAAATTTTATGCTTGAAAATGTATATATAATGGGGGCGCCTGGGTGGCTTAGTTGGTTAAGCGTCCGACTTTCGCTTAGGCCATGATCTCGCGGTTCGTGGGTTTGAGCCGCACGTCAGGCTCTGTGTTGACTGCCAGCTCAGAGCCTGAAGCCTGTTTCAGAGTCTGTGTCTCCCTCTCTCTCTGACCCTCTCCTGCTCACACTGTCTCTCTCTCTCTCCTAGAAATAAACAAAAATATATATAAAAAAAAAAGAAAATGTATATATAATGGAATTTGAGAATTTCATTAAAGTAACTTCTGAGATATTTGGTAATAGTCCTTTACACTTATAAGAATGTTCTCCTTAACATGGTCGAACTGCACTTATGAATTAGCATTAGACATTTAGAAATATGATTTCAGTATTTTGGAATTTTAAATTTCATCATTTATTTGATAAAAAAACATATTATATTTTACCATAGTTTCTGGGGTGCCTGGGTGGCTCAGTTAGCTAAGCTTCCAACTTCGGTTCAGGTCATGATCTTGGGGTTCGTGGGTTTGAGCCTCATGTTGGGCTCTGTGGTCACAGCTCAGAGCCTGGAGCCTGCTTCAGATTCTGTGTCTCCCTCTCTCTCCTCCTCCCTTGCTTGCACTCTGTCTCTCTCTCTTTCAAAAATAAACATTTAAAAAGCTTTTTAAAAATGATCGTTTTTCTTCTGAGCTCTTACTCCTTATTTTATAAGATTTACATATCATTTTAGGAAATACCTTAGAGAAAGTATATTTTTTTAAAACCTGTTAAAATTTGGCATTTTGTTTGATGTAAGGGTATAATACATCTGTTGATTCCAATCTGAAACTATGCCTTTTTTCCTTAGGTTGCTAATGCCATAAAGGCTTCATTGCCTCATGGTGCCATGAAGTCCAGTAAGGAGGGTACAAGGTGTATTCAAGTTGAAATCACACCAACTTCCTCTAGAATATCAAGAAATGCAGTAACCAGCATGTCAATAAGAGGTCATAGGTGGAAAAGACATGGTAAGAAATAAAAAAGTCTTCAAATTAGAGAATTATTGATTCTATCACATTTTTGTCTGTACTTACAGGACTATAACTTCTAACTTTAGTAAATAATATCATAGTGACATGGATGAAAGCTTTTGGATCACCTTTAATTCCTAATTTATTATCCACAAGTGATAAGCAGTAAGGAAAATGTTATACATTATATATATGAATGAAAATTTATTTAAACATTATATTTGTTTTTAAATTTATTTCAATAGAGTCAGAGAGTAGGAAAATGCATGTTAAAATTATTCACACATGGGTTTTTGTTCAAAACTATTGGCAAATATTCCTTAATGTTTCTTATTTCTCAACTAACTCTTTGGCAAGTAAACTTCCATACTGAAGCAGATCAAGTAATAGGGACTTTGACATTTTCTTTTGTACTTCCTGGCAAAGAATGCCATTGTACTGATGCAACTCTGGGCATTTCTATTTTCTGGAAGTTAAGTTTCTTCCAAGATTGTTGGTTTTAATATTTTTCCTTGATTTCTTCATTTCACTACTTAAAAATTCTACCAGAAATTAATTTTATTTACCATGACCTTCTTAATGCTTTCCTACTTCTCTCCCTTTTCTTAAGATTTATTATTTTTAATTTAATTTCTTATTCTTTTGATAACTCCCCTCCTACCTACAAATTATTATAGTGGCAAGAATCAATGTAAGATTACTATCACCTCTCTCAGAAGGTATTCATAGGATCAGAAGCAAAAAGTCACTTCTTTGCCCCATGCAAACATATATATTACTCTGTGTTCTTTTTCCTGTAAACTATGATGAAAATGGTAGCTCCTGTATTTGGTTCCAGTTGTTTCTATGGTCTCTGCAAAGAAAATGCAAAAGTGAGAAGAATATTATTCATGGTGAAATAGAAAGTTGGTAATAAGGACATTGTTCCTACTTAGGAAATCTAGAAAATAATATGTCGAAAGGGAATGGTGATGGAAAATTTCAGCTTACCCAGTGATCATTTTCAATCTTTTTATTTTTTAAAGTAGTGTGACAGTTCTTGAAATTTCTTTAAGAAGGCATAAAAGAGGTGATAATGTTTGCCATTAGCAAGGCAAATTATGCTACAATTAAAACATACAGAGTCTAAACATATTTCAGTTTCTTCAGTGAAAATTAGGCTACTGAAAAATGGGACTAGATTACAGGTAAAAAGTCATTTAATTAGTATGATGGCACTGTAGAGGTCAGATTTCTGTTTGGTATTAATAGGTGAAAATAGGCATCAAGGCCACAAACCAGATCATATGGGTCACTGTGGCCATAATCGCTCCCAAACTACTATAGGAAATGCAAGAATGAGTTTTAATTCCTTTTCCACATTTCCTTCTTGCTCCTTTGGTGACTCTATGGGGAATTAGAAGAGAGTATATAAGTTCTGCCATTAAAAATATGAAATATTGAAGTTCAGCAGTATCTGTGCATGTGTGTGTGAGAAGGAGGTATGTGGTTGTGTCCATGCATGCATTTAACAGACCAAGATGTGTACCCTGCAGCAAAATAGAAACAATTTTCTAGAAAAGTTTTATAGGAATAAATTTCCAAAATAGGGGATAAGACTACTTGAATATACTGTATCTATTCCATTTTTACGTATCTTCCAGATTCCATGTTGGTTACCATTTGAGGACTTGGTCCTAGGTCTTAAGATGATAACAGTCTCCCTTATCAGCTACCCCCTTATACTCATTCAACCCTCAAAACTCAAACACTTGGGCATCTCCCATTTATGGTGACGAAAAAACCATCATAGGTGAGGATTTAGAAGAGAATGAACTATCAAAAAAAGCAAGTCAGGTTCACAGAGCCAATTTAAAATATGGCTTATCTTGTTTACCACTCTTCTCTAGTTGTAATTTTATTTTTCCAATGACTAAAAGATTTCTACTCTAAGATACTTATTTATCTCTACAGGTAGGTTGCATTCTCCTTTTAAAGGTAGTCTTGGCTTCCCTTCCCAGAGCACTATTTTTCATTGTTAATCCTGTCCTGTTGAATTAAAAACTACTGTTTTCCATCTTTGTGATCCTGATTCCTATTTGAACACCTCATTGTTCTGGGCTTTCTAGCCCACTGGCTTCTTGTGGGGAAGATAGGTAACTGTGCTCTTGTTAAATACATAGACAGGGGCACCTGGGTGGTTTAGTCAGTTAAGCGACCGACTTTGGCTCAGGTCATGATCTCATGGTTCGTGGGTTCGAGCCCTGCATCGGGCTCTTTGGTGACAGCTAGCTCAGAGCCGGAGCCTGCTTTGATTCTATATCTCCCTCTCTCTCTGACCCTCCCCTGCTCATACTGCCTCTCTCTCAGAAATAAATAAAACATTTAAAAAATTAAAAAAAATAAATGTATAGACAATTCTCAGTTATAAATGGATTTTTAAATTTGCTTATATATATATTAATTCCTTTTATATATTAGTCTTATAAATTTTAACAAAATTTATTTTTACATTAATTTTTGCAAAAACAATGTCAAAGGGTTTGTACATTCCAGGATGACACACAAAAGCCTTTCATCCCATAACGTCTCTGAAGCATAGTGCTATGGAATGTAGGTTTAGTTCATGACTGTGTGAAAACACATTTAGAGCTTCTTTATTTCATGAAACTGTTTCCTGTTACACCTATATCCTTACCACTCCCTTACCACACCAAGCCTTGTAGGAGGAGGGATTTCTTATCAGACCCCCAAACTGTATCACACAGTGGGGACGTGGAATATGCAACTTTAAAACAGTGATGATGAGGGCTGGGGAAGGAGAGGGGACAAGAAACATGAACTTTAAGGCATCTTTCTTTTTTTTTCTTCGTCTTTTTTTTGTTGTTGTTATTGCCAGTGCCAGAAAAGAAGAAAGCAGTTGGCCCTTTTTTCTTTCCTTGGGTCTCTTCCTTTTTTCTTATATTTATGTCTTTTCAAAAATTGAGATATAATTGACATAGAATACTATGTTACTTTCTGGTGTATCTAATGATTTAATTTATGTATATACTACAAGATGATCACCACTCTAGACTCTACCAAATCTAGTCAATATCCATTGCCACACAGTTACACATTTTTTCTTGTGCTAAGAACTTTTAAGATCTAGCAACTTTCAAATATGCAATACAGTATTATCAACTATAGTCACCATGCTATACCTTACATCCGTAGGCCTTTTTTTTTTTTTTGTAGTTTATTTTTGAGACAGAGAGACAGAACATGAGTAGGGGAAGGACAGTGAGAGAGGGAGACACAGAATCTGAAGCAGGCTCCAGGCTCTGAGCTGTCAGCCCAGAACCCGATGTGGGGCTCAAACCCATGAACCGCGAGATCATGGCTTGAGCTGAAGTCGGACACTTAACTGATTGAGCCACCCAGGCGCCCCATCCCTAGGAGTTTCTTATTTCATAACTGGAGGTTTATTCCTGGTGACTATCTTCACCCATTTTGCCCACCACACCCCACCACCCATCTCTACCTCTGGCAACCACCACTCTGTTCTCTGTATGTATGAGTTTGGTGTGTTTGTTTGTTTGTGTTCCTCATACAAATGAGGTCATATGGTATTTGTCTTACTGTGATTTATTTTACTTAGAATAATGCCCTCAAGGTCCACATTGTTGCAAATGACAAGATTTCCTTCTTTTTTATGGCTGGAAAATATTTTGTTGCATACATAGCACATTTTCTTCATCCATCCCATTGATGGGCATTTTTTCTCCTTTTTCCAGCCTGTCTGGGGAGAAGAGGTAGAGGAATAAATGAGGTTCTCCTATGGAAGCAGCCAAGCAGAACTTCTTGTTTTTTATTTGCTTATTTTCTTTTCATCTTCTTTTATTATTAAAGAATATAGATACTTAAGCCACATATTAGTATGTTTGCATATCTGGGTCACCAAAAATTAAACATGTAAACAAATTCGTTAAATTGGAACAATTAGTCACATATATTCTTTTATTGTGACAGAAAAAAAAATCTTTATAGGAAAAGCTAACTGATATTTTAGAGATTTTAAAGTTAATTTGAAACAGTTTTAATTTCTTACATTAAATTTTTTTTTCTGAGCTCTTCTAGAATGTGTCGCAGATCTGCCATTCTTTTCTTTAAGTTAAGAATTATCCAAAGCTTATATTTTAATGAGAATTATTCTTTTGGAAGGTAAAAAATTAATAGTTTTAACATTTCTACACATTTCAGAATATATATTCCTAGCCATGGTCTTGTTACTATTGAATAACAATCCAGATATCTAGGATTGTATTTTGATGAGTTTTATTTGCTTGGTACCCTGTATTTCTATAATATTAATAATAGCATTTATTTTTTTAGAGCAGTTTTAGGTTCACAGCAAAATTGAATGGGAAGTGCAATACCCATATACTTGCTGGTTCCCACCCCTCCCCCCACATATATATCCTCCTCGACTATCAACATCCTGTAGCAGAGAGGTACATTTGTAAGGCTTTATAATTTTAATTTTGACCAGACAGTGTATCCTCATATGAACTAAATAGGGTGATTTTTAAGGAAAGTTTGGTTTCTTAGAGAAACATGTTTGACAACTAACATGTTTGTCTAATTTCTCCCACTTCTCAGTTGATTTTACTATTGTACTGATACAGCCTAACTTAAAGTTGTGTTTTAAATTTTTTTAACTTTGTGTATACATTTCTGAGAAAAGTTTAATAACTTTGTAATTTCATGCCAATACATATGTTTGGAAAGTAAAACTACAAGGTGGAACTGCTACTTTTTACTTTTAAGTGTCATAATTTCAGAATTAATAGTTTTATTTATATATTATTAATTCTTTTGAGCATATTGTGTTTCACTTAGTGTATATTTTTTAAACCTAGATTTTCAGACTACCTACAGATTGAAGTTTAGAAGTCATAATTTGAAAGTAAAATGCAACTAGGAAAGGATAATAATAATAATTTAAAAAGGATTAAGATAAAGGAAGAATGAGTAGA